TTTCAAAGTAATGATGAATGTACTTGGAGGAGGGATGAAGATAAATGATGATAAATCCCCTGTTTTGTTTATTTGCTTAAAATAAGTCAAAGGCGTTTTAGACATATTTGCCGCTGGGAGACACATCAGGTTATGGGGCACTAAATAATATTTGGAGAGCTGCATTCAATATTGTATGTGGGTGCCGAGGAGGGAGGTGGGTTTGTGAAGGAATTATCAGGAGGTACCTTCAGAGCTAGAGGAGGGACCATTGTGTCTTTGATTAGGGGACAAAGTGCTGTTCACAGAATTACAAAATGGGACTTCAAGTCACTGAATCTTCCTGGCCTTCAGAATTCATAATTTCTCACATTGAACATTTTTACTCCCTCTACCTTTTATTTATTTATTTATTTATTTTTTTTATTACAGTATTGTTTTAAACTAGTAGTTTCCAAAGTGGGCCATCTGCATTAAAATCTCTTGGGAATAATGGGTCAGTGTGTGTGTGTGTGTGTGTGTAGGTTGGGGAGAGAGAGGGGATAAGAAATGCCCAATAGAATGATTTTCTGGCAGCAAGTGCCTGGGCATCAGCATTGTAACAAATACCCCAGGTGAACCTATGGACAATGGAGTTTGACAAGATCAGATTTATCATGTTTCTTTTTCTTCCGATTGCCTCAAAATGCAATCAGTACTTATATTTCTCCTTGTACTTAAATTTCTCCTAAGGATCTAAGGTAAGGGATTTCAAAGCTTTTCTTTTCAAGAATGTTGTGATCAAATTCTTATCATGCGACGTTATTGTGTATAGATTTTAATTTTGTGGTTGTATTAGTAGCTTATGTTTCTAATGCATAGTTTAGAAAATAGAGACACAAAGAAGAAAAGATTATAAAACCCATAATTCTTTAGCCTTATAAAAGCAGTGTTAAATAGGTTTGTTGTGTATCCTTCCAGACTTTTTCTAATATGCGTTCATATAAATATAATTATTTACCAAAATGGGTTTTTTTCTTTATACTATTTTATATAACCTATTTTTATTAATTTTTTATTAGTTTTATTTTCATGTAATCTTAATCTTTACAGCTATTTTTAAAACTCATTAACACATTATGCTCATCTTTCTATGTTAATAAATGTCCACCTACATCAACACTCTGAATGGCTGCGGGAAATTTCTTTGATAAATGTACCAGACTCACCACATCTGTTTCTTACTGGCACTCTGTGATAGTCACCTCTTTTTATTCCTTTACCCATGGAAATAGGGATTATCCTTCTATATTTTTTTTTTGTACATCTTCAGTATAAAGTTTCTAGAGATGAAATTGCTAAATCATTTGATAAAAGTGATTTTGAGCACAGTGAATCAGTGTTCACTATAGGAAAAAATAAAGGCAAGTGCAAGGAAAAGTTAAAATCATCATAGCTTTCGGATAACTTTTCTGTTTTTGTGTGTAGATATATTAACATGTTTTAATAGGATTATGCCATACAGAGGATTTTAATACCTGCTTTTCTCATCTAACCATATATTGTAAATATCTTCCCATGTTGGCCATATTGAAAACACTGTGACATACCTATATACATTAATTGCATAATACTTCATCCCATTTTCCTGCTTCAGTCGGTGAACAAATATGAAGTACCTAACATGCACAAAAGCAATCTGGTAGAGGTGATGAGAGAAACAAAGTTGATTAGAACTGTTTGATGTCCTTAAAATATTTACAGATTAGAGGGGAGTCTAAGGCAGTCACACAAATCACTTAGAATCTTGTGTTATAGATCCTGTAAGGGTATGAAGGATGGGCTGTGAGAGTTCAGAGAAAGGCAAATTATAATATTTTTCTTCAGGGAGGTGAGGGAAGGCTCCGAAGAGGACATGATGGGAGGGCTTGGCCATGTGGAGGTGGGGAAGAGGAGCTCTCCAGAGTGTATGGGAAGTAGTTCCATCTGCTGGGATGCAGACCCCGTCCCAGAGAAGACCACAGGCGCAGAGGGCAGTAAACTCGGAGGGGTACCTTGGTGCCAGGTTGCAGATGATCTAGAATATCTGGCTCTGTGTTTCCTGAGCGATGGGGAACTTTTTAGGTTCTGTTTTAGCTGAGGTGACGATGGGATGTGAGCTGAGCAGCAGCAGGCGGGAGGGGAAAAGGAGGAAGTGGGACCCTCAGGATGCTATGCTGGTGGCCCAGCTTAAGGCGAGGTGTAGCAGCTTGCAGAGAGAAGGACAAGCTTCAGATATGCTAATAAAGGAAAAGATTAAGAATCAAGAAGGCCTTGGAGGCTTGCATTTGGGTGGCTTGGATAGTAGTTTTACTTACTATGCAAAAAGAAATTGCGGGGGGGGGGGGGGGGGGGTTGGAGGGAAGCACTTAAGAAAACGATGAGTTACAAGGATCTTTTTATTTTCGACCACTTACCAGGGGTGTCGAACTCAATCAGAGAAGGGGCCAAAATCTAAAATCCAGCCTAAATCGCAGGCCGAATGGTTTACTGAACAGTCATAAACTGACAATGTTAACCAGAAATGTGAATTTAAAATGAGTGGAACAATCTTTTCCTTAACAGTGCTGTTAACCAACTCACATGCTATCAAGCAAAACAGTAATATTGGTATCAAGCAAAACAGTAATATTGGAATGTACCTAAAATGCTCATTGTTTTGTTTTCTGGCTAGATGTCTGACACCGTTTTCCCCGGATCAATGAGTCAATGTTCGGTTTTATTTCTTGGGCTGTAGCAACCCGCAAAACAGCATGGAGGTTGTCATCGGTAATGCGTGATCTGTGCTTGTTTTTGTTCAGATTCATTATTGAAAATATCTGTTCACAAAGATAGGTGCTCCCGAACATGGATAGAATACGGGCAGCATGAAGTCGGAGCTCTGGCATTGAGTCAGGGGGCAGTAGAGGGTAGAAGTCCTCAATTTCAACATCCTGAAACCTTGATTTCAGGCCACTGTCAGACTGAAGCTCGATTATCTCCATCTGAAGGTGATGGGGCACATTGTTGACATCAACTGTAAAAGGATTGGCAAAGATGTCAAAGCCTGAGTGCTGTGTTCTAAAGTCAGAGAAGCGCCGCTCAAATTCACTTAGTAAACGGCTCACTTTGGTAGCCAGCCGACTGCAAGGAAAAGTACCAGAAATAGTGGTTGAGATACTCAAACAAACGGGAAAGTGGGCAAGATTGTCCTGTTCCAGTTGGGACTTCCATAGTTGAAGTTTACGCTGGAATGCTGTGATCATGTCAGACATCTTCGTGATGACTTGTTTGCGTCCCTGCAGCTTCAGATTCAGTTGGGCGAGATGCTCGCATATGTCACACATCATAGCAAAATCACATAACCAGGCGGGATCCGACAGTTCAGGCAAGGGCTTTCCTTTACTTTCCATGAAAAGAGCAATTTGTTCTCTGAGCTCAAAAAATCTTTTGAGGACTGCGCTCTTGCTCAGCCATCTTACTTCTGTGTGGTATGGCACGTCTCCATGCTCTGCACCCACCTCCTGTAAAAACTGCTGGAACTGGCAATGATTCAGGCCACGTGCCCGTATAAAGTTAATAGTTTTAATGACTGTGGTCATTATGTCATTCATGTCCAGAACTTTTCCACACATAGCCTCTTGGTGGATAATGCAATGATAAGTAATCAAGGGTGTGTGGCAGTGACTTTTTTGCATTCTTTCCTTCATTAGTCCAACCAAGCCTTTCTTTTCTCCGCACATTGAAGGTGCGCCATCGGTAGTTAGCCCCACCAACTTTTCCCAGGGTAATTTAAAATTATTTATAGATTTTTCCACAGCCTCAAATATATCTCTACCAGTCGTCGTCCCATGCATGGCAGCTACATCCAAAAGTTCCTCAGTGACAGAGAGGTCGGTCTTCGTAGCACGTATAAAGATGGACAGCTGCTCTGTATCAGTGTTGTCTGTGCTTTCATCGATAGCAAGTGAAAAAGCGAGATAACTGCATGCCTGTTCGGCCAGCTGTGATGATAGATTTCCTGAGAGTTCTTGAACTCTATCTGCAATGGTGTTTCTTGACAAACTGACATTTTGAAAACTCTGTATCTGGTCTGGTCATACTTGCTCACACACTTTTAGCATGCATTGCTTCAAAAAGGCACCCTCTGAAAAACACCTTGAAGTACGGGCAATTTCTTCAGCCACTATAAAGCTTGCTTTCACTGCAGCATCATTTTTCGCTGTAGCCTTTGTAAACATTTGCTGCTGTGATTGTAGTTTGCCTTTTAGTTCTTTAACAATTTTATGCTTTTCTTCCAAAGTATATTTGCCATACTTAACATTATGTTTGGTGTCAAAATGACGACGTATATATATTGTACTCTTTCATCACCGACACTGTCTCATAACACAATATACACACTGGTTTGCCCTCTCTAAGCACAAACATGTATTCATTTTCCCATTTGTCATTAAATTGTCTGCCTTCACCATCAACTTTTCTTTTCCTGGACATTTTGGGATCAATATTGGCAGTAAAAGATGTAGTTTATTGGAAATCTGCGTTAGAAGGAAAAAGTTGAAAACTGCACAGGGATAGCTTGATTTGGCAGATGGAGTGGAGAAAAAAAAAGTCAGTCAATAAATGCCTGGCTGGGTACAGATAGCAGATTCTGTTGCGATTTTTATGCCTGCACTTTATGCCAGGAACTGGCAGCTTCTGCTGTGTATTTTTTATGCCCCCACACTCACTCTCTCCTCTGCTCTGCCACCCGCACAACCACATCGGATGCCGGACTATAGGTCACGCCTCCTGAATCTCGTGTGACTTGTTATCTATGCGCATGCGTAATAGATAGCAAGTACGAGGCGGCCGGCGAGATCACAAGCCTCCTATGTCACCGCGCGTCATTGTGATGGAACGCAGCGGAGTGCAGTGATGACAGCGCGGTGCGGGCCACATTGCAAGGCCTGGTGGGCCGGATTTGGCCCGCGGGCCTTGTGTTTGACATGTGTGACTTAGCCCATTTTGTTTGGTTCCAGAATCACACACTTCTTCCCCCTTCTCCTTCCTGACAGGAAGTAATGTGGAATACACCTGTAGGTGTGGAGGCCTACAGTCAGGAGGACCGTTGAACACGCAGACACCCCGACAGGGACGGGAGGAGGGGTGCACAGGAGGAGAGCCCGTCTGCAGCCAGGAAGCCTTTCCCGCTCAGGAAAGCACGCTGTCGGCTGTGAACCTGACTGACGACCAGATAGCTGCTGGCCTCTACGGTAACCTTCCTCCCGCCCAGCCCAGCCCGTCCCAGCCTGAGGCGCCTGTGCCTGATAAACTCACGCTCCTGGGGGCGGACCTAGAAGAGCTGGAGGAGAAAGAGCTCTGTGGTCCCTTTAAGAAAATTCGCCTGATTTTAGGAAACAGAAAATATTTTAAACAGCGTTTCCCCTCTTTCACAGTCTGGAAGGCATCTATTTCCCCCCAGGTTATTTCAGCTGAAGGAAAGTTATAATAACAGCCCTTATGTTAGTGCCTACATGGCTTTTGAAGATCAAATGAGACACGACATCACTTTATAAACAGTGAAGTCTGATGCGCACGCTAGTTGCTGCTTTTGTTATGTCTGGGAGTACTAATGATTTTTCTTCTCCATAAAGAATGTTATTAAATGGAACTTTGAAAAAAAAATTTTTTTGCATGCACACAATTTTCCAATGACTTTGTGCACGTTTCTCATATACGTATACATGCCGAGATCTATATTTACATGAATGATTGGGGGGGGGGAGACTAAATGTACATGAAGATTACCTATTCCCTGAACTTGTATGGGTATGAGTTAGGTTCATTTTTACCGCCTTGATTTATGTTTTCACAGTGTGTGCAAATAACGAAAGTACACTGAAGTCCATCATGAAGAAGAAAGATGGCAGCAAAGATTCAAATGGAGCGAAGAAGAACCTCCAGTTTGTCGGCATTAATGGAGGGTAAGGAAAGATGGTGGTGCCGGCATTTACACGTGGTTTTTCTGTCTCTTTTGCCTCCTGCCTACACTCACGTTATATTCAGAGGCGCCCAGCCTGGGATGCTGCCATGTCTTGGTGACGGAAGACTCCCTCCTAAGCAAGGGGCACTGGGGCTTCTTCCCTCTCCCCCTCTTGCTATCTTTAAGGATCTGTCACTCTTGAAAGGATACCTGATGAAGCTGAGCCATTTACATCTTCTCACCTTTGATCTGAAAAAAATAAATAAATAAAAAAGCAGCAGGTTCCCTGCATGTTTGGACAGCGTGTACTTACCTGTATCAGAACTCAGACACTAACAGGAAGAGGCGGAGAGCGTCACTCTGTGGCCAAGGAGAGAGGCCCACTCCTTCCACACGGGTGGTTTTCGCTCGGCACTCCGCCTTGGCAGACAAAGTCGTACGTAGGGCCTTGCCCCTGAAGAACAAAGCAGTCTGCCGTCAGTTCTTCACTTCCTCTATAGAATGTTTACTACTTGCTTCTTCCTTCTCTTCTAATTGGCACAAGTCATTAGCTAAGCCTGTCGGGTCTTCCAACCATGAAATCAATCTATACTGAAAGGATAGAAAAAAATGAACAACTGCAGACCTAGTTCTTATATGATAGTTTCCTGTGATTTATACTAAGCAAGAGGTCCTCTCTCTCTCTCTCTCTCTCTCTCTCTCTCTCTCTCTCTCTTTCTCTCTCTCTAATAATAAAAGTATACTATGCTAATTAGACTGGACAGCTGAACGACCTCCTGGACAAAGTCAAGGCTGCAAGGGCCGAGGCAGCCACCGCGGCTGTGAGGTGCCAAGCTCCTTGCACAGATTTCGTGCATTGGGCCTCTGGTGTGTGTGTGTGTGTGTGTGTGTGTGTGTGTGTGTACCAGTTGACAATGCAGGTTATCCCTCTTAAGTCAGAACCCATTCAGAACTAACAGGCTTTTATTTTATTTATTTATTTTTAAATATGTTTTATTGATTTTCCACAGAGAGGAAGGGAGAGGGATAGATAGCTAGAAACATCAATGAGAGAGAAACATCTACCAGATGCCTCTTGCACACCCCCTACTGGGGTTGTGCCCGCAACCAATGTACATGCCCTTGACCGGAATCGAACCCGGGACCTTTCAGTCCGCAGACCGACGCTCTGTCCACTGAGCCAAACCGGTTTCGGCAAGAACTACGAGGATTTTAAATAGACCTTACTTCGGACTGCTCAGCAAAGGGCAAGCATATGAAATAAACAAGGCATGCAGCCCACTGACTGCAAGTCTGACGTGCTTGGTGTGGGGACTAAAACCTCTGGTGAGGTTTCTGGAGTCAGTCCTCAGCGTTCCCTTTGTAGACATTTCTGTCACTGGGTTTTGATGGGCACACCTTGCATCTCCTGAACTCCCAATTGCCACCTAGGTATGAGACCACTTCCAGTGATGATTCCAGCTCAGAGGAAAGCTCTTCTTCCGAGTCAGATGACGAGTGTGATGTCATTGAGTACCCTCCTGAGGACGAGGAGGAGGACGAGGAGGACGAAGACACTCGGGGAATGGCGGCAGGGCACCAAGCAGTTAATGTGGAAGGTTGCAAGTCCGCCAGGGTGGAAGATGAAGTGCAGGTTCAAGAATGTGAACCTGAGAAGGTGGAAATCAGAGAGAGGTGTGGTACATTCCCCTCCCCTCCCTTCCCTTCCCTCTTCCCACGTTTAATGTACCTGGCAATAGAGTGGGCCATCTAGGAGATTTTGCAATGGTGTTTATTTGCTTATTAATCTCTCCAATCTCCAAAGGAAAGCTAAACTTGGTCTGTTCCTCGGAGATGCATACCTCTTTTTCCTTTTCTTTTTTTAAATATATTTTACTGCTTTTTTACAGAGAGGAAGAGAGAGGGATAGAGAGTCAGAAACATTGATGGGAAAGAAATATCAATCAGCTGCCTCCTGCACACCCCCTACTGGGGTTGTGCCCGCAACCAAGGCACATGCCCTTGACCAGAATCGAACCTGGGACCCTTCAGTCCTCGGGCCGACGCTCTGTCCACTGAGCCAAATCGGTTAGGGCAAAGAAGCATACATCTTGTCGTGATATTGATAAGTGCGAGTGTAGAAGAAGGTGATCACTCCTACATCTCTTACAGTGGCAAAGATGTACTTGGTCACCTTTATTTCCTTCAACTTTTAAGTATTTGTTATCTAATGGTGTACTTGGAGCCACCGTCCACAGAGCTGCTAAGCGCCTCCAAGGGTTCCATTGTTTGAACAACTCACCTCGTATGTAAAGGCATGTTAGGAGTTTTTTGTGCCCAGCACATTTCTTTTAAGGTTTTAGATTTTACCATTAGTCATTTATCTTGATACACTTCTCAGTACTGTTATTACAGGATCGTCATGAGTGCGAGGGACAGTTTTTTGGCCTCAACCAAAGATCACATTTGCTGTAAAGATGATGTCACCAGTCACACGTCTATTTTTGGTTGTGCATTGAGTGGTTGGGAACACTACAAGAGTGGTTTTTGGAAATAGCATAAACAGCAGCTGAAATATCAAGCAAACACTGGTTGGCTGAAACACGCACATAAAATGTAGTCAATTTTGAAGACTTAGTAAATACAGCATCAGTGCCTATAAAACAAGAGAGAACGAACAGATGGAAATTTCAGTGTGGTTTTTCACTATGTGATGTAATAAATAGAACATTTTAGAAAGCTTGCCTTTTTTTTTTTTTTAATTTGGCAAATGGAAGTTTAACTGTATTAAGACAAGGTAAGTATTTTTAGTTTTATCTTTCCAAGTATTTTCAAATGGCTGGATGTCTTGCCATCTGATTTTTTAACAGCTTTATTGAGATATAATGTACATATACATCTTACGTTCTCTGATTTTTAAGTTCGCACTTCATGTGGGTTCAACAAACGATTCCCTGGGTCATCAAATGTGAGTTCAGACGTGTGGTTTACTGGTCAGCGAAATGGGTATGTGGTCGTTCAGACCTCTTCAACTCCATAAGAATAAAAAAATACTTTTAAGAACTCAGAACAAAAAGGGTGGAAAATATCCCAATGTTCTTCCACAATAATGTCGTAAAATCCAAACTGGTGAGGCCTAGCGCTGCTCTCATGAACAGCCGTGGTCTCTGGTGACCTCTGGTTGGAGGTGTCAGCTCCATATCACAGCACCAGCTCTTGGCCACCTCCAGGGAAGCACCTTGTACGGACCACCGAGCTTGGCCCGGTGCGGGGCCTCTTGTCTTCTAGAGCACATGTGTCAAACACAAGGCCCGCGGGCCAAATCCGGCCCGCCAGGCCTTGCAATGTGGCCCGCACCGCGCTGTCATCACTGCACTCCGCTGCGTTTCCATCACAATGACAGTTTATGACTGTTCAGTAAACCATTCGGCCCGCAATTTAGGCTGGATTTTAGATTTTGGCCCCTTCTCTGATTGAGTTCGACACCCCTATTCTAGAGTGTCACAGAGCTTGAGATAAAAATGCCTTTCTTTTAGACCAATCACTAGCTCCTTTCTTTTTATCCCCTTCCGCCCCCTTTCAGGTATGAATTAAGTGAAAAGATGTTATCCGCGTGCTACTTACTGAAAAACAACATAAATGACCCCAGAGCTTTGACCAGCAAGGACATGGTGAGTCTCACCCACACTCACGGCCCCCAGTCTGTGCAGAGTGCCGAGCGGCCGCCGCGGCCACGCAGCTGTGGCCTGCCCCCGAGCTGTTGTTGCCAGCGCGCTTGCCTCCAGACTATTTCTAGGCTGTGTGGGCAGGGCGAGCATCCTGCTGCCCCGCTCCCTGGGTCACTGTGAGCCGTTCCCGGAGGCCCAGCCTCAGCTATCCTCCCCGACCCCGCCCTTTTCTCAGGGGTGGTGCATCCTTGCACATGGAGGGCAGGGCTGATGGCAGTCCCTCCGCACCTTTCTGCGTGCTCTGCTTCTGCTTACGAAACCTTGTGATCCAGGGAGCAGCACCCGGGACTTTTTTTTTTTTTTTTAACATTAGCATATGTGTGTGGGTTTAAAAAAAAAAAAAAGAAAAAGAAAAAAACGGTATCTGGGCCAAGGCCCACATTCCTTTTAATTATGAAACTGCATATTATGTTCTGGTGTGGAATGCAGGCTGCCACTATTTTTAAACTTAGGAATGAACTGCCCTGTCGTCATCTCGCGAGCTGAGGGATCCAGAAGCAAACAGCAGAGAGGCTGGCGGTTGCCGTAGTGAGCGCGAGGGGCACGGCCCAGGGCAGGGCCGTCCCCGTGGCCGTGGCGAATCCGGCCCGTTGCCAAGTCTGTCGCCCTCTCAGGCGTTGGTGAAGTCGATGTGTGGCTTCTTTCATCGGTCAGGCCAGCCCTCGTGTTGACAGCTCTATTCAGTGCGCTGAGAAAACGTTTTTGTGTGTGTGTGTGTGTGTGTGTGTGTGTGTGTGTGTGTGTGTGTGTTGTTTTAGATAGTAATGCGCAGCTGAACCTTTGCGTTTTAGCATTAGATTTAATAGGAAGTTTGATTGCTGGTTAACTTTGTCAGCAGCTAGCGAGAGAGTCGATGGATAAGCCTCACGGCATTAGAGAGTTGTAAAACCAAAAGGTTAGGGCTAGAGGGATTTGAGGAATTATCTAACCCTGGAGAGGCCACTAGAGTCCCTTCTTGTAGGACAGACACAGTCTGAGGAAGAGCTGGCGGCGACCGTCCCAGGCGTGAGAAGTGCGTGGGCGTGTGCCCAGGAGGCCCCTCCGTGCTGGTTCATCCTGCTTTCACCGAGGCCCAGAGATTATGTCTTGTCTAGAGTGGCAGCTACTGGTTAGTGCTGCTTATACCCGACTTCAGTACTGGTTCATGTTTTTTTGTTTTGTTTTTATCCAAACTAAATTACGTAATCTCAGTATATGGTATTTAAATAAAAAAATTAAAAAAAGAAAGGAAGGAAGGAAGATAGAAAGATGGTGTCGTCGCATATTTGTGTGTGCTGCTATTGAGACTTAACTTCATCAGAGCCAGCCAAGTCCTGACGCTCAGTCGGTGTGCTGAAAGGAGCGTGGCAGCGATGTTTACGGAAGGAAATGCTCCATAAAATTCTTGGCTGAGGGGAGACGGTGACATGCTGAATTCTATTCGTGATGCACTAAATGCTGGTCTGAACCTTGGTCACAAATAGCGAACCATGAAACATCGCCACAGTGTGTTCCTATTTCCCACTAGGTTTATACTAAACTTAAAACTGGTGCCTTCAGGCCCCTGATTTTTTTTAGCCATAATATATATTTTTTTCTTTAATCTGCCTCAACATACGAGGCCATGTGGTCTTCAGGGAAAGTCTTCACATGTCTACGACCCCAGACTGCCATTCTGTGATGGGTACATGTTTGTTCATTGAATATTGGTCTAGTGCACAAAGTGTTTCAAGTATTGTTCCGTGAAAAGTAGTGGACATATCAATGGTCACAATGTCAGGGGCCATATAACCCTATAGGACCCTGGATATTTAGCTGTAACAAGAGTTAGGACAACCAGATGTCATAATTCCCCTTCCCTCCGTGTTATAACTCCAAAGAAATAGAAATCTGAATATGCAAAAGATGGAGGAGGGGGAGGGAAAGAAAAGAGGGAGCAGAAAAAAAGAAATAGAAGAATTCTTTCTTGGCCAGGACTCCTTTCAATGAGTGACCAAAAATATGGCTGCAGGGGCTAAAACTTAATAACCAGCGGCAAGAAGGTAGAGACCGAAACTCTGCAATTTCAACCTTCCGATAGAAAGAGGACTTTTCTTGGGTTCTGTTGCTTTTGACATACACTTTCCACCATTCTTTGACACATTTTTAATCTTGTAAAGAGAAGCAAAGCACAGATGGATGGTACACTCGTACAAAAGAGGGCCCATGAAAAAAAAGTGTAGTTATCCCCATCGCCAGCACTGGCTGTGCCTCTTGAACTTCATGCGGGGCCGGTTTGGCCTGGTCAGCCATGAAGAACACGCCGTGTGTCCACACCCTAAGTGGGGAGGCTGGTGGGGCTGATGAGCCAAAGCAGATGATCCTCACGGGAAATGCAATTTGTCCCAGGTCTGCTTTTTCCTCCCTTTCCGGGGCTGAACGTGACCTTAACGTTGGCGTGGGAACTGAGCTGGCTGCGTGCTTATGGTCTCCCGGCCTCGTGCTGCGGAGATGTGGAAGGAGTTGAGCGGCATAATTAAGTGTGGGCTGAGTAATGTCTTCTGACCCAGTTCCTGTGAGGATCGTTTGCACGGCCAGCGTGACTCCATGACGCTCATAGTTCCGTAATCACTAGAGCCAGGCCTGAGAGCTTTGCATGCATTGCCTCCATCATTCCACCACACACACCGTGGAGGGGAAGGTATGCTTACTGTCCCCATTTTGCAGATGGGGACACTGAGGCACAGGATGAGTGTGTCTTCCCCAGGGTCATGAGAAGCAGAGCCGGAAGGTGAACTCCCGGATAGGGCTCTTTGCCCCTTAGGGAAGTCACACTGTGTTGGAGTCTAAAAGCAGGAGGGGTGACCCAGGGTGTAGGTGGAGGCCTCCCCCCTGGGACTCCGGGTTTCGCTGCTGTTTCTGCAGCCTGTGCTGTGGACTCGGGCTTTGGCTCTGTAAGTAGAGTCTGTAAGAAGAAGCGCTCACGGCCCGGCCTGGTTATTTCGGCAGCGGTTCTGCCTGAACACCCTGCAGCACGAGTGGTTCCGCGTCTCCAGCCAGAAGTCGGCGGTCCCGGCCATGGTGGGGGACTACCTGGCGGCCTTCGCGGCCGTGTCCCCCGAGGTCCTGCGCCACGTCATCAACATGGCGGACGGCAACGGCAACACGGCCCTGCACTACAGCGTGTCCCACTCCAACTTCGAGATCGTCAAGCTGCTCCTGGACGCGGGTGCGTGGCCTCGGGGTGGGGAGTGGGGGCTCCTCCCCCCCAGGGTGCTTGGTCGGTGCCTCCATCCTGGGCCATCCTGCCGTCCTCCCCATTGCTCCTCCACGTGGTGAGGCAGGGAGGGGCGGGATATAAAAACACCCCCTCGCATGTCCTTCCAAGTCGCTCCTGCGCTTGGACCCTTTCTGAGGCCATTTCACTGGGTTCTTCCCAACACCATCCCCTCGGTTCCCGTTGGGAGAGGAATGACCCCTAAACGAGACCCCTGTCGCCGCAGACGTGTGCAACGTGGACCACCAGAACAAGGCGGGCTACACCCCCATCATGCTGGCCGCCCTGGCCGCCGTGGACGCGGAGAAGGACATGCGGGTGGTGGAGGAGCTCTTTGGCTGCGGGGACGTGAACGCCAAAGCCAGCCAGGTGAGCGCACGTCCTTCCCGGGCTCGGTGGTGTCCGCACTCGCTAGTGCAGCCCTGACCCGCACGCTTCACACACACACACACACACACACACGCACACACACGCACACACACGCACACACGCACACCGCCACTGCGCATTCAGTCCTCACTGGCCCCACGCCGAGTCTGCTTAGCTGCCTGGCAGCCCCAGAGGACCCAACGCTGAATGAAATACTGGCCTGAACTCCCCACTGGGAACCTCTCCATCCCTGGCCTCCCTGTTTGGAGCCGTGAACATGGAAACTGTAGTCGGTGACTACGAGTCCCCGCCTCGACCAGGCGCCTGGTGTCTGCATGCCGGGTGCCCCTAGCTCAGATGTGTTCGTAGTTGGACGTGCTTACCCATCTGCTGACTTTCCAGCTCCTTGATATAATGACATATAGAACCTCCAAGCTAAAGGGGAAAACTGACCGGATATTTTATGATCTCACGTGTTAACTCATCGCTCGTGAGAAGCCGATTGCTCCATGCCTGCCTCCACCCGCATGCTTTCACATCCATTTTTCCCCCTCTGTCATCACACTCCCGCCTCTCCCCCATTCCATCTCTCCCCCCCACCCACCCCGCTCCTTACCCTAGCCCAGCCCCCAACCCCCACCCCATAGGCCACACCCTGCCAGCCCAGTGTGCCCTCCTGAAGCTCACTGCCGTCTCTCTGTGCAGGCAGGACAGACGGCGCTCATGCTGGCGGTCAGCCACGGGCGGATAGACATGGTGAAGGGCCTGCTGGCCTGCGGTGCGGACGTGAACATCCAGGACGACGAGGGCTCCACCGCCCTGATGTGCGCCAGCGAGCATGGGCACGTGGAGATCGTCAAGCTGCTGCTGGCCCAGCCCGGCTGCAACGGCCACCTGGAGGACAATGTGAGCGGCCGCCTCCCCGGGGCCGGGGCTGGGGGCCCAGCCCGCCGGGGCACGGCGGGGAGCTCTGCGGGTGCCGCCTGGCCGGGGCCAGGAAGCACATCCTCCTCGGTTCTCCTTGGGGATGTGTGTCGCCACTCAGGCCTCCTTGCCTCATGCCCAGCGTGGCAGCATTTATTGGGGGCCAGCTGGTACTCCCTTCACTGAAGACAGAGGCAGAGCCATAAATAGACCTCACCCCAAAATTCACTAAAGGAAGGAGGTGCAGGGCAGGCACGAGAACCAGCCTGTTAGAGGGGAATGAACAGATTTACAAGACAGAATCAGGTGCAGGCGGCTTCTAAGTCCGCCGAGAGGACCAGGTCCCCGGTCCATTCGGAAACCCGGATCACCAGCCATTACAGGTTGGGGCTCCTGGGTGGCTGGAACCGTTGTTACTGCAGAGAAACACTTCCCCGGGGAAATGAAGTACAGGCAGGCGTGCCCATCACCAGGGCCCACGGGAGTGAGGTTTCCTCTGCCAGGAGAGCTGGCCGGCCTTGGCTCCCTGCAGCACATCCTTCCACTCCTGCTCGGGCTGGTTCGGCGTCATCTGTCTAATCTCCTCGCGCAGGTGCTCAGCTGCCCCCACCCCCAGATAACCCTGGACTGGGAACGTCCTAAGGAAGGCTGCTCCTCTCCTGTAGGAACTAACGTTTGGGTGGTGCCAGGGTTGAAAGGCCCAGAGGTCACAGAGTTGGGGCTGGGTTGGTTCTGTTTTGAAAAGTTTATCTCTGTGGAGCACTGGTTGGGACCAAAGCTTCCTCTTAACTGGAAACACAAAAGTGAAAGAGAGAAAAATGCCCATCCTCCCCCCGCCCACACACACACACACACACACACACACACACACTCACACACAATGAACCTCAGGTCCCAGTGGGCCCCAGGCAGCAGGAAGAGCAGCCAGGGCGGGGATTTGCCGGCCCGGTGGCTGCACAGGAGCGGACCCGCAGCCCTGACACATTCCCTCGCCTCCGCCCGAGTGGAGGGAGCGTTTCCAGCCTGTCCCCTCAGGAGCACTGTGTTCCGTGCGTCTCGGTTCTTGTTGGTTGGCTTTTGCTTCTACTCTCTTTCGACGAAGAACAGCTTGTGGCTATGGTAATGCGAGGCCCGAGAGCCACAGTGACTTCCAGACATCCTGGTCACCAGCTAATGGTCTCTCCTTCCTCACCCTTAAAGGGGTGGGAGGGCACCCAGCTGGCCTCCCGGAAGGCCGAGCAGGAGGGAGGAGCCATAAGATTCAGACCTCATGCAAAGTGTTTCCTGTGGCCAGTGACCCGAAAGAACCTTTATTCCAATACTAGGCAGAAACCCAGTCATAGTGTTGTTTGCCTTGATGCTCGTTTATATCCATCTCAATCCCTGCAGTTTTAGTAGAAACCAAACATTTTGCTGATAATTTTTCTTTGCCCTATGTAGTGTTTTCCACATATTTCCATAAGATACATTTCTTTTTTAAAAATTACTTTTATTGAGTTTAGAGAGAGAGGAAAGAGAGAGAGAGAGAGAGAGAGAGAGAGAGAGAGAGAGAGAATGAGAATCATCAACTTGTTATTCCACTTCTTTATGCATTCATTGGTGTATTCTTGTATGTGCCCTGACCAGGAATCAAACCTGCGGTCTTGGCATATCGGGACGTCACTCTAACCACTTGAGCCACACAGCCAGGCTCCGTAAGATCCACGCCAGCAGGACTCAGTGCCTCTGCGTGGGTGTTGCTCCCAGCATTCCGCAGGGGTGGTCAGGGATGCAGGGCCAGCTCGCCCCAAGAGGAACATTAAGAGATCTTAGGCAAACTGCAGGGTGTCAAAGCACACACCCTGGTACACGCCTGCCGCTCATTTGTACCGTATTTTTCGGACCATAAGACGCTCCAGACCATAAGACGCACCAGTTTTTAGAGAAGGGAAATGAAGAAAAAAAGATTCTGAAACAGATAGTGTCCTAAAATATTTTATGTGCATTAAAACCCAACATCACAGTCATAAACACATGTAATCAACCCTGTAAAGTAAACAGCAGCATTTAGAACCATTTTAGAGCCGGGCAAGCACACAGAGACCACACAGAGCCGGGCAAGTAAAAAAACTTTTTTTTTAAAGTATATGTGTAGGCTATATTTGGACCATAAGACGCAGGGACTTTCCCCCCCCCCCACTTCTGGGGGGAAAAAAGTGCGTCTTATGGTCCGAAAAATACGGTAATTACAAGGGGGGGGAATTAAAATACGTTTCTACTTCCACCATCTCCTACTGTCCCCCGCTGGTGGGCACGGTGGTTGAATGAGACTCCTCCATGGCCAGCCCTCATCGTCCAGGGCCCACGGGGTGCAGGCCTCTATGTACACTCACCACGGTGAGGCGAAGACAGCGGAACGGGTGACGGTCCTGTTGACTGTGATACCGTTAGGGCGCGGACTGTGCCCCCTCTGTCCTTGTCCTGGCAGAGCTTAGCACGTCGCGGTCCGGAAAAGTTCCCTCTTAAAGGACTGGGCCCGTGGCTAGCGTTGGGGGGGACCGTATCCATTACTGGAGGGGGTTCTGTTTTGTTGCCTCTCCCCCTCTGGCTGTCGGGACGTCTGAGAAATCCAACCCGGCTTGTTCTTTGCGTCGTTCAGGATGGCAGCACGGCGCTCTCGATCGCGCTGGAAGCAGGACACAAGGACATCGCCGTCCTCCTCTACGCCCACGTCAACTTCGCCAAAGCCCAGTCTCCGGTCAGTGTTGTGCGTTTGGCATTGGTTAGCGGGGGGGTCGTCCTTTCCCGGGGTGGTGACGGGGGAGGCACAGGTGCTTGGAGGATTCTGGCAATGGACGTTTTAGTCTGGAACCTGAGAGTCCATCGCTTTCACCCCTCTCAGAAGGCCAGGAGTGCTAATGGTTAGCACAGCGGAGAAAGGAGCCCTGCTTGTCCTCAGGGGACACACTTTCTCTCTCACCCTCACATGAAGGGCTTATTCTGAGCAGAACTATTCAAATGGCACATCCCGAGCCAACAAATGCATATCGCCACGTTCCTGCCATTTTTTTGTAAACCGCAGATAATGTGAATAGCAACATGTGATCCCAGAATCCACTCTTAGCAGGGAGTTGACTTCCCAGGACAGCTGGTCCGCAGCACTGCTGAGCTCAGCTGGCTCCTGAGCGCCTCCTGCTGGTGGACCTGTGTGTCTCCGTGTTCCAGCTCCCTCTCTTATCTCCAGCTCATCAGCTATGGTAGACCCCGAATTCCTATTCACAGAGGACACATCTGCCTGGGGCCGCATACTAACCCCCGTTTCTTCCCTTTCCTGGTCTCTAGGGCACCCCGAGGCTTGGAAGGAAGGCATCTCCTGGCCCCACCCACCGAGGCTCTTTCGATTGATTGTGTACAACTAGCCACCCACTTACATGCCACCACGAAGCTGCTAACTGTTCCTGCCGGGGTGACAGATACTGAATGTATGCGTATTGTGCCTGAGCTCACCAGCAACCAGAATGCAAAAGGCCAAGGGGCAGAAGACTGGAGCTGCCACTGTGGATGCTGAGCCAGGAAGCGATCGCCGGCGGGCACATCCCGCCTCCCTTCCAGCCATCCTCCCTCGGTGGAGGGCACACTTGACCCCCGGGTGGCACTGTTGCTGTTGAGTCTCTGCCCCGTTATGAACAGTGTAGGAAACTGTAACCTAACCTGAGCAGGCAACTTCTCCACCTTCTCCCCGCCCGCCCCCACCACTGAAGCGAGTGTCAGGTTCTCGCCCGCACAGTGTGTTAGCTTTCTCCTCAAGCGTTTGTAGGTGCTGGTGAGGGACTATCGGGAAGCTCTGCAGAAATTCCATTTCAGGATGGTTTTGTTGATGTTTTTGTTTTTCTGTATTATTTTAAAGCAAGTTGAGATGACTTTGCTCATCAGCAACTTGAGCCTGGGCTGGTAGGTTTCTGGGTTAAAATGAAAAGATGGAACTCTTTAAAAAAAAAAAAAAAAAAGTATAACACATACAAAAGGAAATCTTTTTTCAGTTGGTTTTATCTCGGTGGATGTATTATATGCCTTTTTTTTTAATATAAAAGATATCTATATAAAATTGACACAGTATTTTCAACTTTTATATTCCGTGGTAATAAAAGACAGGAGGAACTACATGCGACAGTACCATATTTTTATTAATAATTGCACAACTCTTTTTACCTGATGATAGAGGTTGAATTGTGTTTAGAGGGACTGGCTCAGAAATACTGGCGTAGTTCTCCACGTATTTATGGATTCCTTGATGCCGTGTCACACTTACCATGGCCCTATATGTATTTAAATGTTTGAAGTGCCTTAGACTCTTGCCATATTTTCAAAATAAAATTTCATTAAGCTCTCCGCTGGTCCCTGCTTCATCTCTTGACAGTTGTGTGCCCGATGCTGCTGACTGACAGCAGTGGTGGCACCAGCTGACGGACTCCAGACAGCAGAAGACGCCTCCCGAGAGCGCCTCAGCTCTGCTCAGTGCTCGGGTTGCACGTCACGAGTCTGAAACGTGAGACCTCGTTAGCAGAGCAGCTCACCTGACAGGTAATCGCCCAGAGGAGCCGGGGAGCTCGCTCGGCTCACGTGCAGAGGCACCAGCACACCTTTGTTCTGAGTCTGGCCGCACCTGCCGGGCCGGTGGAAGCCCGTGATGATGGGAAAGGAGAGGCGGAGCCAGGCGGGCTTTTTATGTCGGACAGCTGATGGCCCGGCAGCACTGACTCCAAGTCTTTTCTGAAGAGTGATGGGGATCGAGCCCATCTCCTTAAGATGACGAGGCACGGTGGCCAGAATGCACACGAGGTGTCAGGGCAGAGTGGCTGGAGGTTGTTTGTGTGTGTGTGTGTGTGTGTGTGTGTGTTTTAATATGTTTTATTGATTTTTTACAGAGAGGAAAAGAGAGGGATAGAGAGCTAGAAACATTGACCAGACGCCTCCTGCACACCCCCTACTAGGGATGTGCCCGCAACCAAGGTATATGCCCTTGACCGGAATCAAACCTGGGACACTTCAGGCCAACGCTCTATCCACTGAGCCAAACCGGTTTCGGCTGGTGGTGGGTTTTTAAGCCAGGTCACCCGCGAGAGCCAGGTGCATCGCAGAAAGATCGCCGAGGCTTTTCTTCAACCTTTATTTTCTGTCTTCCTCTCCTTCCTTCCTCCCTTTTGCTCACTCATCATCGAGCTCAAGAAGAAGGCCAGATTGCCCTGGCCAGTTTGGCTCAGTGGATAGAGCGTCGGCCTGCAAATTGAAAGGTCCCAGGTTTGATTTAGTCAAGGGCACGTGCCTGGGTTGTGGGCTGGAACCCCATTGGAGGCTTGCAGGAGGCAGCCGATTGATGATTCTCTCTCATCACGGATGTGTTCTCTCTCTCTCTCCCTCCCTCCCTCTCTCCCTCCCTCCCTCCCTCTCCCCTCCTCTCTGAAATCAATAATATATACACACACACACACACACACACACATATATATATATATATACATATATAAAACTATGGATAGAGACTGGAGTTTTCCAACAGGTGTGTGTCATCGCTGTGCTTGCACTGGACAGCCTGTTTTCATGAGCTCAGATGTTCACACCGTGGAGAGAAGAACACTGGAGGCGCTGGAGAAACATTGCTGGCAATTCAGGCCCACGAGGGGCAGTAACGGGCAGCTCAGTTCATGCCGGGGCCTCTGGGCAGAAGGAGGCACAGGCGCCGGGTCACGAGCATCTCTTTCCCTCCTGGGACAGATCTGCCGGCTCGGGGATCTGGGCTAACCTTAGATTCAGGTAGTTGCTTCAGCCTCTGAAGTCGCACAGCACACTGACGCAGAGAAGTGTGTCTGTGTCTGAGGAGAAGTGGGACCGTGAGTTTTCCGCCTCTTCACCGCCTGACATGCCTTTTGAGCAAAGAGGGCTGCTGAATCTCCGGTGGCTTGTGAGCCGGGGAGTTTTCACTGTTGCCTTTGAGAAAGGAAGGTGATTGAATTCCTACACCTGTGTGCTGCCATTTCAGACTTCCGGTGCTAAATTTCGCAAAAAAGAAAGCGAGTGCTTGTTTTACCGCCCAGTGAGGTCTTCTTTGGGGAACAGCTGCTGCCTGTGCTGTGTTTGCTTTGCTCACGGTGGGCATTTTGAGTGCTTATCTTGGGGTCTTGGCACACTGTATAAACCAGCCTGAGTCTCCCCTTTGGCACAGCTGCGATTTATTGAGGCACACATACAGAAAGGGGTTTGGGGGGGGGACGCTTGGGCAAGGTCCCCAAGAGAGGCTGGCAGAGGGCTGGAGAGACCTGGTTTTATTTTCCAGCTTTACGGCAAAGCCAGTTTTCCAGGCTCCCTTGCCCTGGAAATGAAGAAGGAGAAGGCCAGCCCTGGCTGGGTGGCTCAATAGGTTGGAGGGTCATCCCATGCACCAAGGGGTTGCAGGTTCAATTCCCAGCCAGGGCACTTACCTAAGTTGTGGGTTTGATCCCAGTCGGGATGGGTACAGGAGGTGACCAGTCCACGTTTCTCACATTGATGTTTCCCCACCCTCTCTAAAATCAATAAACATATCCTCAAGTGAGGGTTTAGAACACATGTGTCAAACACAAGGCCCGCGGGCCAAATCCGTCCCACCAGGCCTTGCAATGTGGCCCGCACCACGCTGTCATCACTGCACTCCGCTGCGTTTCCATCACAATGACAGTTTATGACTGTTCAGTAAACCATTCGGCCCGCAATTTAGGCTGGATTTTAGATTTTGGCCCCTTCTCTGATTGAGTTCGACACCCCTAGTTTAGAAGAAGAAGGAGAGGAGGAGGGGGAGGAGGGGGAAGCTGAAGGCCAGAGTCTACCCCAAGATGAAGGAATAGAGCAATGGGAACTTTGAGACTTTAATGTTAAGTAAAACTGACAACTTATCCTGCTGTTAGGACTAAATGCATTTTTATTACTGGAGAAAGTTATCCCCAACCCTATCTAGCACTAGTCCCCACAGTAAAAATGACATGTTGGGTCCCTCCCGGTAATTTTTCGATACTCCCAGGAGCACAGTTTTATCCCTGACTTATATAACACTGAAATACTGCAGACAGAATCAGGTAGGAAAACTGCAATTTTCCCCTCAAGGGAAATCATGAGCAGACGAGCCGTAATCTTCCTTTAAATGCTCCTTTGAGGGGGAAGCCTGCTGCCAGCAGAGATACCTGTATTCTTGTGGTTCTCTGTGTGAACTTCCTGACACAGCAGCTTAGGAATCTCCGGTGAGAGCTGCTGGGCATGCAGATTCTGGGCCCCACCCTGCAGATCTGCTGCTTTAGGTCCGGAATCCTTAAGGAGCATCTCTGGTGACTCTCAGTGGGACCTTCGGTGCGTGCTGAGAATTTTATTACTCCTGAATGATGCGATCACTACCCTTAAGTTCTTTTCTGAACAAGGTAGGCAGGGTGGAGCCTGGAGGAGGCTTTTCTAGAAGGCCAGGATCCATCTGTGTGTGTTGACGGGGCAGGGAGGGGGGGCGGCTCAGTACATGAGTGACAGCAGTGGAGCAGGTAGACGGCTCGGGGAATATATTCCTGTGAATCTTTTCCTTCCCCGAGTCCTTGTGAAGCAGCCGTGTTCCTGCACAGGAAGAAGGCCATGGCCTGATGCTCTCTGGCTTTGGGATAAAGACAAATTTCTATTTTCTTTTTTTACTGAAAGCGCAGATTTTTTTTTTTAGTTTCTGTATGGGGTTTGTTTTGTTTTGTTTTTTTAAGCCATGGCCTCAGCCAGAGATTATTTCATTCTCCTTTGTGCCATGAGGAAATTACTAATCATAGGTTAACTCCGAGCTTACTTAGCATGGCTGTCATTTGGAAGCCAGCTGGTTGTACAAGGATATTTGAGGCACATCTCGCAGAAGATGATAACCACAGAGGATGTGGCTGAGTGGTTGGCCACAGGGTGTTCCTGAGCTGCACACACTCCCTGCCCACCCACCGGAGTCCCTGGCCATTTCCTGGGCAGGGGGGGGGGGGAGAAGATTGGGAAGGACAGTCAGCCCTTCAGTGTGACAGATGGAGTTAGTCAGCATTTCTAATGATGTCCCTGGACGTGGGGCCAGAACACTAGCAGGGGTTTTATAGAAAGGGAGGAAAGCAAAGCGCCATGCTTATGGGTGCGTGCCTGTCCTGATGTTTGAAGACATCTGGGGAGAAGCTGGCATTTTAGGAAACCAACTGCCCACTGTCTCTCCATGCAGACCTTTGGTCAGTTAATGGGCAAGAAAATAGGAACTAGATTCCTAATTTTCTGGTAATGGAAGCTGCATAGGAATATCCGTAAAAGCAATAAGCCAATCTTGTATTTGGGCCAAAATCAATTTCCCCTGTTCCTCGTTCCCCAGCCAGTTAGCCCAGCCCTAGGCCCACCTGGAAGGGCCAGGCTGTACAAGAGGGAGAACGAGAAAACAAGCCGTGTTCCACACTGGAGCGGTCGGCTGCGGGAGACCGGTGGCAACCGGGTGGTCACTTATTCGTCACCTGTCAGGCGGCAGCGATTCTGGCTGTGACGGATCTGGCTGGTAGGAAATACGGAGTGTGCACAAGTGAACAGGTAATGAAGACAATGCTCAGTAATTTGACTGAGTCCCTGAGAGTTCAGAGCGCTCATGGCCCAACCCCGTCCGAAATAGTGTTACCTCAACCCTTGCCTCCCCCTTCTCCCCTCCCCCCTCCCCCCGAAAGCCAGTCTTCACTCACAGCAATTGGTTACTGTGCTTGGGTTTGACACACCACCTGCCAGGACTGAGAAGTCTTGCTGCCCAGCTGATACGTGCTAGTGGAATGCATGTGTGTAAAAAAAAAAATGATTGAAGCGTGATGCTGGGAATCAGGAGAGCGTTACCATTAGGAAAGGGAGAGGAGATGGCCGGGAGGGAGCCTGAGGGCTGCTGAGTGCCCGATGACCGTCCACGGCCATGTGCACTTTGTGGAAACTCGTCCGGCTGTATCCTCAGGATTCGTGCACTTTTCTGTGTGTATATTAATTTCTTTCTTTTTTTTAATATAAAGAATGGAAAAGTTTGGTCAAAAAAGACCGTGGGGGGATGGTATAGATTTTTTTTGATGTGAAGATCAGATGGAACAAAGAGGTACTCACTATGAAACTGAAAAGCGTTGGCCTTGCCTTTTCTTTACCGTTAATACGCAGCGTAGCGTCGATGGCTGCTGTGGCCCAGGCGTGACCTGGTACAGTGGTCATCCGGGCTGTCCTAGGTCCTCCCTCAGGTCCTTTTCTGGGTGCCGCTCGCCTGCTTCGGCAGTTAGGCCTGGCATGTCCTCGTCCCCGCATGCCTGGGTTCCTGAGTGACAAGGAGCATTCCCTTGCTGACCTCATACG